CTGGGTTTTGTGATAAGGAATACAGAGCACTTTAAGGAAACTAAGTCTATAATAATTTTGTACAACTCACTGGTCCGACCTGTTTTGGAGTATGCCTCTGTTGTCTGGGCACCCAAAACAATGGTGCATGTTGATATGATCGAACAGGTACAAAAAAGATTTTTAAGATATCTGTACTTAAGGACACACAATGCTTATCCATACATGATCTCTTACAATAGTATGCTAACAGAATTTAAAATTGTGCTATTGAGCGTTAGGCGTGGTTTGAATGATATCTTCGTTCATTCACTACATAATTAATAATTTAAAATATAAGAAGTATTCCCTAATAAATAATATATTCTTTGTTGTTCCGAGAATCAACTTGAGAATAAGAGGCAACAAACTCTTTCACTGTTCACCTGTAAGTTGTTCTTCGATCAATAGAATGATGTATGAGTATTGTTGAATAGTTATATACAAAATTGTGATGTGTATCTCATTTCGACTACTGTGAGACAAATTAAGACTGATTTTAAATTTAAGTAAAACATCCTTATCTCATTTTATTTGTTTGTTAATTTTTATAGTTTTTCTTTGTCGTTATTTTTTAGTTATAAGTTTTTGTGTATTCTCTGTTTCTCTACTAGCCAGTAAGCACTCCTACATGTAACTACATTCAAATGTGTTTGTAAGAGTTTAAACAAATAAATAAATAAATAAGTATCATCAACACATACAACTTACAACTTAGACCTCCAGTAATGCCTTCTCAGAAGCAGATTTTACATCACATCAGAGACAAAGATTGATAACAAGCCTCATAACGTTTAGGCAACACGTACAACTAAGTGCTAAGTTAACATCTTGTAGAATATATAAATATGTCAAAAAAAATCTGCATAATGTCACTTTTCAAGATACGTGATACCCGTGCGGGAAACGGCAGTGCATAGGTACATAGTGAGAATGCGCGTGCTAATAATCTGTGTTGATGGTAATTCCATTGGTTTCTTGTCTCAAATTACTTGAGGTGTATTCAGAACTTGAAATTAGTTGCGCATCCACTTTTTATTATTCATCCTGGAAATTATATATGTAAGTTTGCTGAATTTCAAACATTGTGAGAGATAAGAAAAGAAAATCGCGGGTTGGTGAAGTAACAGGTAAGAAGATACACTACAGACAGGAATATTTATGAAAGTCAAAAGGTTATTACATTACTTTTTATTTCCAGTCATTTAAGTTTTATAAAAACTTATTTTGCGATGTCAATAGAAAATACAAATCAGCGCCTGGATGTGAGGCACTGCGAAAATGTTTGATCTGTGATGACTCATTCCTATTTTTTCTTTGATGTTTTTCTGAAGGTAAGTGAATATACGTTAATTATTTTTTAAAATACATGTAATAATTTTGTCATGATTTAACGTCATTACAGGACAATGTTAAGAGGAAATCAATTGCAAATTTTTTACTTAAGTGACTGACAGCTGTCATAATGTCATAAGCGATACTTCTAATGAATCAAATATCTTTGGTATCAATAGTCATACAGGGTTATTCATCTACACAAGTTGTAGAAGAGGATTTACTGTATTTTAACACAATTTCAAAAGTTATTGTTTCATTATTTGTTCCATACTTGCAGACTCATTTGCAAAATTATCAAAATAAGTAATTTTCGAAGCATAGAGCTTATGGGTTATACCTACAGTAAAATTAAGCCATTTCTAACAGAACCTGTTGAATGTGTAAATTCATTCTTGTCGAAATATTTTCTTCACTATATTTGTTGATTACATTCATCTTATTTTTGTTGGAATCAAAAGTATAGGAGTATTTTTAATATATAGCTTTTGATGTAGTTAGCTGTTTACATTGTGAAAAGTCACTTTTCAGCACTATGTTATTGAGATGTTACCGGTGAAATGGGGTGAATAGAAACAGTTTCGGACCTTTCCTACTCTGTTGCTAACATGGTAGTCACCTTTTTGACAACAAAAAATAAGGAATCTACAGGTCTCGACTTGTAGATCAAAAAGCGCATAATAGATTTTTTTTAAAATAGGGGGTTTTCCAAATAAAAAATAAAAACACTCTTTTTCTATTCACCTTTAATGTGGGGTGAATAGAAACACCCATTTAAATTGGTCAAATTTGCTATTCTACCCACACGAAGGCGAATAGAAAAACCTGAAAAAATTTTTAAATTGATAAAAAAATATAAATACACAAAAAAAACTGACAAAAACACCAATTTTACAAAAAAAACATTTATTTCTATAGAAATGTAACAAGTTTAAACATATTATTTAAATTAAACAACTTTGATGCAAATTAAATTTTAAAATGTCTCTTCTTGACGTAGACGCTTCTATCTCGTCATGAACTGGGAAAACCTCTCCAACAACCTGGCTAAAATGAAAGGTGGAAACATCCGGAACTTCTGGAAATCCATAAATATATCCTGACGAGTGTTTGGTGGGGCGACTTCTTAAGAAAGTGGCTTCAATGTCATTTTCTGTAATATTAATGACTTGTCCGATAAAATATTTATTTCTTTGTCTATTTCGATATTTTGTTGGAAAACACACCAGAAGCCAAGTTCCTTTATCTATTAAATCAAGCGAAATAGGAGAAACACATCGAAACAATTTACCCTCAAAGGAGACTGATGCTGATGAATTATTTGTATCCAACTTATTTCTCGGACTTATCGGTGAAACTTGGTAGTGAAGTGTCCATTTCTGAGTCTGCATCTGAAGAATGATCTTGATCTTTTTCCATGTCAGAGTCTTCACTTGAAGAATGATCTTGAGCTTTTGCCATTATTGGCATGAAATTAATAAGGGGCAAATTCATTTCCGGGTCTGAATCTTCATCTAAGGTTTCCATACTTCTTTCCAAATCAGTATCCTCTTGATCGTCTTTATCCAACGTGCCTTCAAAATCTGCACTTGTAACGCTTTTGCCAGCAGGAACTTGAATTTTACGACGTCGACTCTTCACATTTTGACCATCGCCATATCTCATTGTTCTTAGAAGGTTTACCAAAGAGTTATTAAGTCCTTCTTCAATGTTCTGATTCTCATCATTTGTCTCGTCAAGATTTTGCTGCGGAAGGCGTCCCAAGACTTGATCCCTATTTAGTGGAAAAATTCCACACTTTCTAAAGCCAGATTGTATATTTTTTCCAGCATTAGGCTCAATAGCCTTTGACAAGTCATTTAGCAAGAAAGGGAATCTGTCCTTTGGAACCGTGCAATGCTTTGAACCAGCCCCCATTTTCCATTTTTCAAGGATCTGTCGCCAGGCTGTTTTAAGAGGCCGGAAAAATGCCACGTCCAGAGGCTGGGTCAGATGAGTAGAGTTAGCCGGGAGGAATATAAATGAAATATTATTTTCTTCGCAAAGAGATACCGTACTTGCAGAAAAATGTGAACTCAGATTATCGCCAATTAAGTACTTCTTTCCCGGTAGATTTTTTACTGCAGGTATGACAGTGCTCTCTACCCAATCTGAGAAGGAAATCGCATCAAACCAACCTGATGGACTTCTATTAAATCTGACGTCCTTTGGTCCTCCAACTGTCCAAGATGCATACAAATTTTTAGCTTTGTAAACCACGTATGGTGGGAAAAATTTTCCATCAGCTGAAGCAGCGTACATAATAGAAACGGCTGACTTCGACGTATTGCAAATACGTTCTGGATAGCGACAGCCCCTTTTCGAGATTACTTTCTTTCTACCCGGATCGTCAGTTAAATTTGTTTCGTCGTAATTTACTATGTTTGATGGCGGTACATTTTTCAACTCCGTGGCTAAATTGTCAAAATAAGCATTGATAGTATTGGGAGAAACAGCAGCTCTTGAGCGCTTGATGTTTTGGCAGATTCTAGATCTTAATTCATTTTTGTGACGTTTTAAAAAAGAATAGACAAAGTCTCTGCCAGGGATATTATCTTTAAATCTCGTTATTGTTTTACCTCTACTGTCTAGGTAATTTTTTATCATCATCCTGACGTCCAAATGGTCAAGTGGATACCCCCAATCGGAACAAACTATTAGTTGATGGACTAAAATATCTTCTTCTTGTTTGGTTAGGGCTGTTTGTCCTCCATGAAGCTTCAGATTTCGGTTTTTGTGGTGCCGAGAAAGCACAGAATAATGAATGTTGTATGTTTCGTGAGCCACTCTATAACTCATCCCGTTGTCAATTGAAGCAAGGGCTATTTTTAGAGTTTTTTCATCAATTTTCTTATATGTTTTACCTCGAGGGTCTGGTTTATAAACGCGAGGCATTTTCCTGCAAAAGAAAAAACAGTTATGGGGTGGATAGAAACAGCGGGTGAATAGAAACAGCGTGTTTCTATTCACCCCAAAATTACTTAAAAGTGTGGTTATGTATTATATTACATCATAGCCAAAAAATAAGCAAGACAAGCAATTTCTGAAATAGGCAATGTGAACCAGACACCTTAAAGCTACTTTAACCAAAAACTCAATGTCTTACCTGTTTTTAGCTAACCACTGTGAATAAAGTTTTGCTAGTGATGAAAAAGGCTCATGTGTTCACTCCGACGGGTGGTTGCTACTGCAATCAGGGCTGCCAGCATAAAACATCTTTGGCCTGTTAAAGCAGTTATGGCGACATCTGTTGACCGTTTGAGAACAAATTTGAAGCGTTGGGAGGTTTAATTCCAATGTTGATTTTTTTTAAAAGAAGTTTCCCGTTTTTGTTGCTATTCACCCAGCAGTTTCTATTCACCCCATTTCACGGTACTTGAAATAATTACAAAAACATATCAAGTGTAAACCATAATCACAAAGTATTCTATAAACTAATTTCATGCGTAATGACCGAAGATGTGTTTCACTTTGAATTTATCTTCTCATTCTTTGCTGAACATGCATTATTTGATTGTAAAACAAAGAGCGTCCAAAGATGGTTTTCTTGAGATGAATGAATAAGAGTACTTTTCATTTTTACTTGGAGCATTATAGTATATGTTCTGGTTGTAGGGTTGAAAATGAAGGTCAAAGAAAATGGTGGTTTGAGTAATTATTGTCTTCATAAAAGAAAATGTAGTAGAATGTTGGTAGAGAAATGAAAACTTGTAAGTTAATAGAGGATTAGGATGATCCTGGTGAATACTGGGAAATATATAAAGTATGTTCATTGTGTGGAAATGGTAAGCAATCATATCTTCAGTAGTATTTAGGATTGTAACAATTTGGAAAGTTGGAGTTTGGATATTTGCTGTAGCCAAAACCACCAGATATTTAATCTGGAAATGGAAATATTATATCTCAAAACAAAAGGATTAGAAAGAACCCAAAATATGATATCAGTGCCTAACAGACTTCGGAATCTGATGTAGAATGCACAGTTTTCTCTGCATTTCAGGTTAACATTTTTTAAGATATTGAAAGAATTGTCTAAAGTTGCTTCAAATGAATTGCCTCAGATGAATGAAAGATTCATTTTTTAAAGTGATCTTCATACTATCTATATAGATTTATTGTAATTGCTGATAATATTACATGTAAATGGTCTGTGTCTGTAAGTTATGAAATATGAACTAGATATCAAACCTCAAGTCCCATTAGTACCAGGGTTGCGGTGTTTTACCTGTTGCAGTGCTAATACAGTCATTAGAAACACTATACTCCCCTAGCACATTCAAAAGAAATATATAGTCAATCACATATGCTGTACCAATTAATGCTACCTAAATCAGGTAATCAGAGCACTAAATTTGAGGCCAATAGCATGCTCGGATTTTATTAGCTACTTTAAGTAATCTGGACAGCCATATCTCAAATATAGTCACTTAGGCAGTCTGATAATTTCTCTGTCCTAAAGATGAGTCATTCATTTGTGGAACTTTGTACCAGGTTGATACAATTCAATTGTACAGTCTGCAAAAAAACAATTCGCTTGCTAGGGGACGAAATATTGACGTTGCTATCACGATCCACCATACATTAACAAGCCATAGAGAAAACAAAACTTTCAATAAATCAACTTGTCATTGTTTAATAGCTTCATCAGGATTTTATAAAAAAAAAAGTTTTTGTGAACATCAACATTTATAATGAAAAATTCAGGAAGATGGAAATACCATTTTGTAGTATAAAACACAAAGATTCAATCACATCAAGATTGATATATCACGATGAATAACTTCTAAAATCTTAATATAGCAATGAATTCTCTATACATTTAACACTAGTTTAAACCAACATAAGGAAATCACAATAATTCACTGCCACTGTCTTACAAGGAAAAATTTGGAAGTTTTGAAGAAGAATGGCTAGAATAAAAAGTAATTACACTGTACTGGTTCTGTACAAAAACTTTTTAAAATCAATATTTGAAATTGGTTTTCTTTAATTAGGTGTCAGAATTCAGGAGAATTAGCAATGAGTTATTCTTGGGATGGTTATAAACAATATCTGCAATCCAAAAAGCTACTCCTAGCCAAATGTGCATTAGGTATGTATTAACAATTTTCATTGTACAGTTTGTACAACTATATTGTACGTAGGGTTACCAGGTAACCTGGATTGTATTGGGAGTTCAGGGGAATTTAGGCGCAGGACTTAAAATCTTCACTTTCATTAAAAAAAAATATCGAAATTACAAATTGCTCCTAACGTTTTTAATTCGGTTCGGCTACTTACTAGATGAAAAAACCATTTTTCCTTCATGTTACAACTTCTGATGTAACAGCTGAAATTTGCATCTTGATCGACCATATCGAAGCAGAGCTTCACATTAAAACTAAAGGTGCAAAAAATGTATGGAAAATAAACAGTTGTCGGAAACTGTTGTCTGAAAAAAAATCTCTGATCTTCTGTTGTATTCATTGTCAAAAAATAACTCATTTTGTGTATGAATTGTGGCTTAAGTCTAATGAAAAATGTCCATATTCTGCTCCTCCCCTTCGAAATCGACATTCTGCAATTTTCAAATTTAAACCTGGCAACTCTAAATGTGTGTGAATTGTTTACCAATGTCTCTATGTTTTTAGACGCCGACCATATTCCTTCATGTTGGAGTATGGAAGCATTAGCATCATTAAGAGATGGTTAATCAGAGCCCAGGAGAGGTCAAAAAAATCAGGAGCTCCATTTGTAGTTATAAAGAGTTACATACATTTTAGATTATAAAAATATATATGTATACTCATGTTTATAAGTATTTGCACATGGTGTTTTTATTCCAATAGCTCTTTAAGCTAACTTGAAAAATCAAAATCAAAGTTTGTTAGTTAAATAGAGGCTTGTATGTGCTGACAAAGGACAAAAATGATTTCATTAGACTTTTTTATTAATCATAATTTATCATCAAATACAGGAAAATCTACATATTGATGATAGGGATACGTGTTATTTATTGATACAGGTTCCAAAAAAAAATAGTTATTGGAAGAATTGCCAGAAATGAAGATTTTTAGAATGGTTAATCTAGATATAGTGAAAACAATTACTATGAAATATTGTATTGCAAAAGAATTTAACTAGCATTTTATTTAATATATTTGACAAGTGGATCTTCTCTGTTGACTTGTGATCTAAAATTATTTAGAAAAGGGGCAACACCCTCCAATACTTCCCTACTGAGCGAGTTGTTGAATTCAGTATATAACTTCTCCCCATCCAAGTTATTAAAAGGTATCATGTATCTGAAAAGATTGATCAAGCAGCTGGTAAGGTAAAAGAAATTATGAAGAAAACTATAAAACAGTTCACATAAAACTACATGTTTATTGCAGCTTGAAAATAAGAAAACAACAGCATTAATAGAACACATTTTATTTATTCTATAGAATTTCTCATAAGACTTCCTAATATATAATAAACTCGCATCCTTCTTTCCATCAATAAAATCAATCATTTAAATATCTGGGTATATTTATGTGGATAGTAAACTATAGTTTCACGAGCATTATGTATACATTATTTCAAAAATATCAAAAAAGATAAATTACTTCTATAGTTTCCCATAATCTTAGTATGTATTCAATAAAAATGTGTATAACACCATAATTCTTCCACATTTTTTGTATTGTTCAACTATTTTGTTCACAGCAAATGAAAACATATTTTCAAAATTACAAATTCTACAAAATAGAGCTATGGGAATCATTTTAAATAAAAACAATTATGCTAGGATTAAATTTATGTTAGAACTGCAGTGGTTGAATGTAAAAAATTTCATATTCTCAATCTCATTTTCATATTCAAATTGAACAACCATTTATTACCACCACATTTAAAAAACTAAATTATAACGAAAATAGAGGCAGGTGTTTATTTGCAAAACTGTATTAATAGCATAACTAGCAAATCTGTATTTCAAAAGGCAGTATTTGAATTCAATATTAAAATAATTCAAATTTAAAAATGTTGGTGAAATTAACAAATCAATTTATGAATACTCGAAATGCATAGTGCTGTAATTTTAATAGACAAGAATGTAAAATTACAGAAAATGGATTCAAAAAAAATGTGTAAACGGATAATTACACGAAATTGATACTGTAGCATTAACGCTAAATAAATTTTCAACAAACAAATAAAAATCATATTGTGGTTATAAAAAAAATGTGCATGGTGCAATAATTTAATTTTGTTTTCTAACATAAATGTATGGATGCCAAATTATTTTTTGTGGGTTTTATAAAGTGAGGTGTAGGCTAGGAAATAGGTAATTGTTTCCTACAATTTGATGACAATAATGATAAGTTCAAATTGCCGTCATGATAGCGTTGGAGCATTTTCTGACATTTAAAAAAACGCGTTTGTCGGGAATTAAATTCATCACTTTTCTTTTATAAAACAGTAAATATGTTACAAGAAAATTAATGGTAAAGTTAAATGTAATGACATTTTCGCTTATAATGGCTAAACTAACAAGTGTTTAAAAGATTCTTATTCTTGTATGTAGAAAATAAAATGATTATTCAAGTGTATGGAGCGAAAGTCAAAAATGTATACGAAATTGTCACGCGGCATACTAAGCACTGTACATTCGTTGCCCACGTGTCAGTATACATGTTTTCACGTGGGTATAACTCCATAAATTATTATCTATGTTTTACTGAGACGCGTAAGTATGGAAAATCTAATATTTTCGGATATTTCATGACGTAAATGCAAGCAGCTCACTTCCACCAGTCTGTTTATTGGCCATTTTGTCACTGGGTACGCTCAGAAACCGTTGCAACGATTTTAATTGAAAGGGAGTGATGCAATAAACTTGTATTATGTACTACATCTCCTCTTCCATTAGAATCGGTGAAATTACTCAGTGACAAAATCTCCAATAAACAGACTGATGAGAGTGAGTGACTTGATCTTCATAATGAAAAAAATCACAAATTATCAAAAAATAATTTTCCATGCTTCTTGGTGATGGGTCATGATTATGCAGTTATTTTCACGCGAAATAATGCTGTATGCCGATTAAGAGGACCACGTACATATGTAGTGTCAGGAGTATGTCGTGGGACTGCTTTGATACGAATTTCCAAAGTTCCCTGCTTATACTTTAAGAACCAACAAAATGTCGAAAAAACGTAAATGATCTTTTTTGTACCAAATTTTATTTTCTACAAAACGTAGTAGTGTTTTATACTCTTAGGTTCTTAGTTTAGCCATTATAACCGAAAATATCATTACATGTAGCATTACCCTTAATTTTCTTGTAACCTGTTGACCTATACGACAAATTTTTATAAAAGCAAAATGATGGAGAATTTAATTACCCCCAAAATCTTCCTTTTTACATAGGAGCGATTGCCTTCTATTTTCAAACGCGTTTATCAAAATGAGTGCAAATACTCGAGCCCTCTCTAAAAGTTACCGTCGCCCAAACTGTAAAATTTCCTTATACAGAATCTCGCTATTTATTGGCCTGGACTGTCAAAACATTAACATTAACTTCAGGTTCCCCAAAACAGAAAATTACTTTCCTGGAAAAAAGTTTAGCAAATGTGACAACTAAATCATACATCTTCAGTTTTGTAGACATGGTTTTTGAGCATTCTTTCTGACAAAAAAAGGGCGCCCATTGCAAATGATCTTATGTGAATGAATTTTGTATATAGTTAGAAGTAAGCAAGAGGAAAACGTGATAAAATTTTTAGGTAAAAAAATTAACTGTATCACTTGAATTCGCTAAAAATCTTTTGGACTAACTTAGTGCCACATATATTCTCGAACAGTTATCGTAGCGAGCTACTGATGAGGTACTTCATACCAAACTCAATGAGTGTTGCTAACATTGCTAGAGGATGAGGTAAAGAGGTCGCTCTTCTTCTCATCATACCCCATGGATGTCATTTGACGAATGGTGCCAAGAGATGATGATGATTTGTGTGTTATTGAGGTACCATACTGTAGCTCTATTCTAGAATTACCCCTAGAGTGGCAATGATCTATCCCATATAACTTCCTGGCAGTTGGAGTCGATTGCAACTCTTTGCATACATCTCTGTGATATGATATTCTAAACGCAGGTCTAGAGGAAACCTAAAATCAAATGAAATATATCAGTTAAAAATGAAGTCAAATAGATTGGCTTGGATGGATGTGAAGTTGAGACAAAATGGTGCAGACAATTTGCCGAAGATACCCAAACGATTACTGGGGTCGACATATTAAAAAAGTCTCTGGTTGAGAAAAATACAGAGCTGAGGGCCTGCAGCAATAAATACATATTAGCCATATAAAAATATTCAATGGACGAGAATAAGCACCTTCTTAGGGCGAATCATTTTCCACCCCAACTAAATAATTCGAAGGAATAAAATCTATCCCAAAATATTTCTTTCTATCAAATCACTTATAGATTATTGTATATTAGATGGTATTGAGGTAATTATTGAGCGAAAACGCATATAGTGAGCAGATGAAAAATATAAATCAAAGTTCATTTCCACCCTGAAATTTTCTGAAATAAGAATTCGAGATTATTTGCTAAATTGTTTGCTACAACACACATGTTTGACTTGTACTTCCCTTGAATTAGTAAAAATCTCACACACGTAAGGTTTTTAACAAATTTTTAAAAACGTTAAGGATTCCCAAAACAGGTTTGTATTTACGAAATAATGACAAATGTGTGTTGCAAACTATACTGGTTGTCTCACAAGAAACAAGTAAGCTTGAGAAAAGAATGCATTCAATTTCCAAGTGTTTGAGCACACTAATAATGTTTGAACTCTTTGGAAACACTGTTTCAATCAATCTCATAAAATGTCAGAAAAAACTGAAGCTCAAAGGGTTTTTGATGATTGTTTTTGCCAATGTCACTCAATTATGTTTCATTTGTGAATAAATATCAACTTATGCGATTTGATAGGGTTAATTAATAATTAAAATTTAGTTCAAACTCATTGTATAATCAATATACTATCCAAATGTTCAAATATTTGAATAATACAGTAATAACTTTGTAAATAGTGGAACACAGATGTTTTTGATGGTAACGTCTAATTCATCCATTCAATACTATCTTTCTGCTTACTTGCTTCAAATTACTGCTCAGCATGTTCAACTTGACTCTACTGGCTGCTGTGTTTGGGGCAAAGAAGAGGATGAAGGTCCAAATGAAACCAAACATCTTTAAAATTCACAGAACAACTTGCATGAAAATTATAATTATGAAGAAAGTATGGGTAAAACTAATTATCATTACTGTGCCTTCCAAATAGTTAATTATAATTATATTCTACATGCCTCAGGCTTGGTTAGTAATTCCTTACTTCTCAACTTTAGCACATAATGACATTGTAATTGTTTAGAGATGGAAGATGTAAAACTTACCAATCCTTTGGTTGTGGTAGATATTTGTATTATATATTAAAACTGACTGATGACTTCTTCAATTCACTGTTGATAGATCTGTTTTCCTCTGTGAAGTGTGCATGTCTGTAACCAACAAAAAAAGCCAAGCTATCTATACATGTCAGAGCTTTCTTCCAAACCTTGTCCATTCTTGTGTAAAAATGCAAAGGAATTTCTTAGTGTTTGGAAATCCATTTCATACACTTTCCTGGCAACCTGTGACAACATATCTGCAGTACTTATTTCTGGAAAATGCAATAATGCAATACTATGACATTTAGTGATCATGAAAGGCTATCATATGAATTGTTGAATAAATTCCATAATGGTCAAATCAAATATTTTGAATGGGTAACACTAAGTTAACAAAGGTCTCTAATCTACGTTTAGAACACTGGTCTCGAGAATAACTCATGTATGACAGCAACTTGAGTTCAATAAATGCTAATTTGAGTAACATACAAAAGCTGAATTAGTTCAATCACCGCAGATGAGAATGAACTTTAAGTGGAATCTTATATTTTATACTTACATACTGCCACATATTGCAATTATATTCACTGTACACTATCGAATTACAAGTCATATACATGCTAACAGTAGACTTACACATAACGCGGGCGCGGTGGTGTTTTTTTTAGTTCTTCTCAAAGTTTTTGAAAACACAACACATAACTTTGAACATAACCTTTCTTCAGAAAGAACAACACAAATAGGTCGTCTGGCACAGCTTATAGATATACTTCTTCGGCAGCATAGTCAGTTATAATGTTCTCAACTTATCAAATATCACTTTTTTATACACATGCTGACCAATACAATCATTCAGATGCGGTCTTGCTACTCAACCAAACTTTCGTTCTTCACATTTTAAACTTACACATTGAGGTCTATGAACTAAATGGCTCTCTGCAACCAATAATGCATATTTGGGAAGAGAAGAGTATCGCGTATCGTTAAGATATTCCTTCATAGATGGACGCTTACAATGACACAAGTGAGCAAACATGGAATGACTGTTTGCACTCTAAAAACTACCTAGTATGCAAGTTGACACCTTATAGGTTTTTTTGACGTTTTTTTACATGATACCCGTGCCGGTATGAGGAACAGGTAGGCAAACACTGTGAATTATTGTGAATAATTATGCTGTAATAATAGTTCTTATCTGGAACTTGAACTGTCTGTTGTACTTTTTTCATTTGTATTTCTTTATTTCAATTAGTTTGTAATTATCCATGTAATATGGGTGTGGAACTCCTGAAGATTGAACTAAGCACCCAGTCATGCACACAACTTGAATCGTGCGACAGTGTCACGCGACAATATTCGATACAGGGTTGCCTCTGTATTACTTCATTGTCAAACATTGTTGGGTGACTATGTCTCATGACTGAAGTTGTGTGGATAATGAGCACTGAGAGGAGATAATCTCAGATTTGTAGATCTTGAAGTATCATTTGTTTATTTGAAACTCACCACTTTTGCTTTCTTCTTTAGTTGTACCACTGTGAGAGGATCTTCCAGGTTTGCTTTTTTCTTTGGCAGTCTTTTCTGTATCTTTTTTTACTTCCTTTTTGGCTATAGGAAAAGTCTTTGGTGCTTCTTTTGTTATGCCTTCTTTGCTATCACGTCTCTCCTCTTTCTGGTTTTTTACTGCTGTTGGTTTATCTTCTTTTTTTGTATCTTTGCTAAGTTTTGGTGTTTCCCTTCCTAAAAATTATACATATATTTTGAATTACATGTATACATTATATATTTTTCGTATCATAATAAATTTTATCATTCAAGAATTATGCATATGATTTTTTTGTAATAACTTGATTGCAGAGTCTCAACATGGGTTTGTAGCAGGGGAATCCATCAACACGGCGATCTATTCTTTCAGCCACAACATCAATGAATGCCTTGAAAATAATATGATATCACTGGGTCTATTTTTCGATCTCTCCAAAGCTTATGATTGTGTGGATCATTACCTTCTATTGAATAAACTCGTGCTTGCAACTAGATTAAGTCTTATCTGAAAGATCATAAGCAACGAGTTTCCAGTACAAAGAATGAAATAACAGCCATTTCATCACATGCTAGAAAGAGGTATTCCACAAGGTAGCATCTTGGGACCTTTCCCCTTTTTGATTTTTGTGAACGATCTGTGTGCTAATATTACAAGAAATAATGTATGCATGATCCAATATGCTGTTGACACGTGTACTGGTCTCTGGCCAAGATTTCAACCTTTTAGCTGAAAGTACCTTGAGCCTCTTCGAGAAAGTGTTTTTGTGGTTTGCTCGTAATGGATTATTCCTGAATACCTCAAAAACAAATGCGATTGTTTTTAAGCTAAGAAAAAAAATCGAAGCTACAAACATCACTTTAGCATAGAAGTCCTGCTGACAGACTGTGGGAAATTCTTGGGAGTTTATATTGATCAAGCTCTTTCCTGGGCCTCGACCTTAAGACACTAAAAATGGTATATTATGTGAATTCTGAGTCCATTGCATGTTTTGGAATAATTTTCTTCAGACATAGTAGCCATACCAATAGGATCTTTCTAGTGCAGAAGTGAGTGCTGAGGTGCATCTTAAAAATTTCCTCTGGAGAGGAAAATTTAAGAGTTATAAAATTTTAACTGTAGCCGCAATATATATTTAAGAGATTTAAAAACATTGACAATTTTATCGGTAACCCACAAAGTGACTATAACACAAGAAATAGAAACATAAATCTTAATCTTCTGTATCCAGTCCATCATCATTACTGAAAAAAGTGTCTATTACAGATTCACTACAATATATAATAAGTTACCACAAGACCACAAGGTCATCGGATATAAAAGAATATAAGAAGAGTATTTATCAATTGTTAATGCACTTGGAACTACATGACCTTCAAGAATATTTTTAAATGTAAAATCTGTATTATGTTATATGTTTGCCTTTTTGTTTTTTCTGTCTCAATAACACTGTGACATATATTCCACCTAACAGTGTGTAATACACAGTAATCATGCAATGTTATTTTGAAATAAAGATTTATTATTATTATCATAATGATAACGAAATATATGGCATTCTAACCATAAAACAATTACTTGGAAAGTAGGCATTAGACAACTATGGAGTTCGTAGTATGGCATAATTGATAGGAGCGATTGTGCAGAAATATCAAGTTCTGACACTTCCAATTATATCAAAAATGGATATCAACTTCATTGTTTTAAATGGAACACTGCATGCATAACATGTAGACTTTTCTGAAATATCACCAATCTTGTGAAAATCACAAATGCAAGACAATAAATACTTTTTGATTCTTCCTGAATTTTAGTCTTTGCCATATGATTTGGAACAATTTTCATATAGGATGTGGCTTACTTGAGTAGATTTGGCAATCCAAAAAACTGTTGGACTTGTGGCGCTATGTTGTTGACACCAAATTAGACCTCATTTATGCAATCATTAGTAGATAATACTTACCACCTTTTGGTGTTGTAACAACTTTATGTTTATCTTCAGTCTCCTTTTTGTTTATCAAGTTTCCAAAATCAGCATCAGGAAGATTAAATTCTTTCTCACTATTCGGAAAAGGTATTGATTCACTTTCGTCTAATGCCTCTAAATTGTACATTGTTTCTAGATGTGCCCAAATTTTTTCTGAAGCAACATCTTTTTTTAGATTATCGCAAAATTTGTCGCAGATGAATGCCATTTGGAAATACTTGTTCACACCTAAAATAATTACCACATTAGTGTTGAAGTTACTTAAGCAAAACTAATGTCAACACAGGGAAAGTAGATCAGCCAATTTCAATTGGATTGGGGAGGGAGATATTGTTTTCTTAGGACTTTAAATTTGAAGGATCATTTTGGCACCAAACTTCCTATAAAATGTCAGCAATGTAAGCAATTTTATCTTTACTGAACATAAAGAGTATATTTCTGTGGAGTTGACATACAGGGTGTCCCACATAGAACTGCAAAGGTGGATTACTCCAAAAATTGATGTTTTAGCTGCCCAACAGCACACTGTGTTCTAAAATGAGAGCAGCTTACTATTTCCAAAGAAGATTTTTTACTGCTGGTCATAGTATCTAGAGTAATGGAGGTCAGTGCCACTAGTACGCAGTAGTAAATTGGAACCAGTGATCAAAGAAACTTTTTGGACAGATCATGGCCAACTAAAAAAATACATAACTGAATTTAGAACTGACAAGTCCATTTAAATGTACAAAATTCCAATATAGTGTCCATATGAAAAAACAAAGTTGGAGATGGACCTCAAAAGCAGAAATGTTGAATAGAAAATTAGACTATGCCTATTGTAGAGGAGAATAAGCAACAATGATTTCATTGAATTTATTTTGAAATCCCATCTCAAATAAAGTCAGGAAAATAAAAGTGTTTTTGGAGTAAATCTGGCATGCAAAACAAATGAGTATCTGATAATTTCAAGTTCTACCAAGGAAATCCTGATTTTTTGAAATAATTAAGGTTTGTCAATGTTATTGTATGAAGTGTTATGGTGAGGGTCATACTTGAAACACCCTGTATATGTGCTTAAGGGTCCTTTTTCAAAAAGCCAACATTTTGATATTTATTTTTCATCTTCTTCAGGGTTAAAAAAACCCACTTATAAGTACCAAGTAGAAGTCCAGATCTACCGAAAACTTAGTTACCCTACTATGGAATAGGAAAAATGTGCTGAAACTGCTTAAACATACCAACGGGCTTGTGACCAGCCATTGCATCAAGCAGATAACCTTCATTGACTACAGTCCATTCAAACTCTTCCATTTTTCATTTATTTTTATGTACTAATTGTAAATATGTATGAATGTTCATCTAAATTCTAATTAACAAATCTAAAATTTCATTTACATTTGCCGACTTCTTCGTCACATATCACAGACACAAAATATACACTGAACTGAATGAATCACAAAACATATACACTGAAGGAATGAATCAATGAATGCTAACTCAGTGTAGTTCAATCAGCAACACGAATAATGTCGCCATGTTGTCGTGGTGGAAGAACAAATATGACACAGAAACAACGCCTGCCTACTCAGAACAATTCGACGAAATGACATATGCCGCCATGTTTCTTACAATGAAATACGGTGGTTGCCTACTTTCTCACCACACCTGGCACTCATTAATCAAATTCAAGCGGATAACCAAATGGAAATGGTATTTACCATTTTGGGTTGGTATTTACCAATCCGTTCAAGCGAGTGTAGTTATCAGTTTGGTTATAAGATCCGTGACGTCACGAATCAGCTATTATATGTCATAGTTATCACCGCAAAATTGTGGTATTTACCCAACTCAAGAGTAGTTTTATATTTCTGGTTATTATTTGAAATGTGACAAGTTAGAATTTTGCCGGATATTGGATATTGTTATTGTACTTCAGCTTTATTTTTGAGAAAAATGATACAGGCTGACTTCAGTTTTACCATAAAGTGGAGCGCCTTATTAGTTATAATCATTGTTGGTGACACTTTAAATGTAGTTCCTATGCTTAACAAAGTATCCTGTGTAGCCATATACCACAAGAATATTAAAATATGGCCATATAAACTCACTAGATGATATCCACCTGTATACGGTTTTGCTAATTTCTTTTTTCATCATTTCTGCTGAATCAATAAATGTTTTCTTTGACATGCGGAAAAATTTAGAGAACTGAAAGTTATCATAGCTACAAAGCCATGGTTCCATCATTAAAAAAAAAATCTGAAAAAAACATTTCTCCCATGAATATTATGAAAGGTTTCTTATTTAAACTTTCCATATACAGTTGTAGACGAAAAAGCACCGATTATTAAGTGATAATAAAAATAATCAGAGATTATATACGCGCTTTTCTAAAATAAACAACTTGCAACAAAACCGCGGTCAAAACCAACGCGTTCAAGCGATTCGTGTAACTGACGTCATCAACCAGTGTGTCATCTTGAACCATATTATAACCGCGGCACATAACACAGAAATTTTGGTTATTCGCTTGGATTTGATTATTGTCATCTTTATTTGGTTGTTTTGAATGGTGTTCCTAATAACAAAAATTAATTTTGCATTAGGAAAAACAATTCAAACACCTCACGTGTATTTGTGATTGGGTTCTTTCAAGAGTTATAAATAAAACAATATAATTAGGAAAATAACTTTATTCTGGTAGATAACGTAATGTGGTGCATTTGCAATGAAGAATCAGAAACCCCCATGGGAGGCTTCTGAATACCCATGATACCACACTCAACAAATATTCAATGACAAAAATATTGTGAAATCTGTATGTAAAGGGTACACGATTTCGTTAATCAAAGATAACATTATACTTCTGAATAAACATTAATTTGCAAAATTTTAGATTTATTTTACATGAGTAAAGCCTGTATGTATATGGTACAGGCCATATATAGTAATTTAATAACTCAACATAAAATTCTAAAAAATAAAATAAAACACAATTCTAACACAATATACAGTGGCGGCTCTACCATAAGGCCGCATGGCCGCGCGCCCCCCAGTTAAAATGCCGTTAAAAAAGCATTGAATAAAACCATTTTTATTTTTTTTTTCTAATTAGCTAACATTTTATTGAACATATTATATGTTAAACGTCACCCTAATTATTTTGTAAGAAATCAGTCGATTTTATCCTTATATGCCCGGACTATACGGGCCGCATCGAACCTCGCGGCCGCACGTCGGTGTTTTCGAGCGCTTTCGATACGACTCGGTTAAGGTACAGATAGACATGCTATAAAAAAGCATGCCTGTGAGCATGCTTCAAACGAGAATGCTCTTTTAACTGTATACATGTGCTTGAAATAAGCATGCTCCTGCAGAAGCATGCTTAAAACAAACACTCTACCTACACGTACCATTTGCTAGCATCTGCCAGTGTAGTGTGGTGGAAAACATGGTACACGACGTGGCTATCCGCACACAAGTGAACGAAACCATCATATTACTTGCAGTGCAATGCATACGCAATATACTTTTAAGAAAAAAGAAAAAAAGAAGGAATAGGACGATTTGGGTCCGTGATTGGATAAATAGAATAGAAAATCTTGGAGCCAGTACTCGTTTGTTGGTCGAAATGCGAGCAAAAGATAGTGAGGGTTATCAAAATCATTTACGTATGCTTCCGCATCAGTTTGACGAGTTACTCTCTAAAATTGAAAATGTTATACAAAAACAAGATACACATATGCGAAATGCTATTCCAGCTAAAATCAAATTGGAAGTTACACTGAGATACCTTGCAGCTGGAGATTCCATGTACACATTAGAAGCACTTCACAGGGTTGCGAGATCTACCATAGCTCAATTTATACCAGAAGTTTGTGATGCAATATACAGGGCTTTGAAGGATTATATGCGGGTAAATAGAACACTGATATTATTTCAAATGAAACATTTATTTTTGTTAACATATTATCTGGTAAGTACATACTTTAAGAAAATCTCCATGCTCTGCTTAAAGCGTCTTCTGCTTCGGTTTGGCTGTTGTTAGTTTGAATATTTGTAAAAGTAGGTGTGGAATTTATTATTTGCATGGGTGAAGTGGAGTATGTAGACAAGTTTGGGTACAGATGTCGACATCTAGCCGCAGTTATAATTGTCTGAATCTCAGTTTGCATGTTTAGTGCATCATCTAATGGTAGGGCTCGCAATTGGGCAGCAATATTCAAACCAAAAAAAATGAAATTCATCATATTCTGCTTGTCTGTTTATAGACGAAGTTATATTTTCTAAACGATTTAGAGCAGAAGTGATCGGCTCTTCTTGTATGCTCCTTCTTTTACGCCGTGCTGGTGTGTCCTTAGATGAACGAGATGGTGTTCCTTCTTCCGCAATGTCAGTAGTCGAGGGTGGCGACATTACGGTGCTGACTGATGGCGGTGACAAGGGGTTAGAGTTCGAATTAGCACTAGTTGGTCGAGAATCCTGCGATGACTCATCTGTGTCCTGTAAAAAAGATTAATAATAATAGTAATAAATATTAGATAATAATAATTCTACTGTATACTATTGGATATAGAGATTTTGTTTCCTTTTTTACAGATTCCGTGCCATGAAGAATGGAAGCGTATTGAGCATGGATTTCAAACTAAATGGAACTTCCAGGATGTATTGGGGCGCTGGACGGCAAACACATAAATATACGTGCTCCTGATGATACTTCCGATTATTACAATTATAAGGGTGCCCACAGCACTATACTTCTCGCATTAGTTGACGATAATTACTGTTTTTCATATGTAAATGTTGGAACTAATGGGAGAGCTTCTGACGGCGGTGTTCTTCAACGATCAAAGTTAATTGTGGCAGACGCGGCTTTTCCTTTAAAGACTTATCTAATGAAGCACTAGCCACGAACACCAACGCATAAAGAACAAGTGTTTAGCTACCGTTTGTCGAGGGCTAGACGAATTGTAGAAAATGCGTTTGGTATTTTAGTCACAAGATTTCGAGTTCTTCTGAACACTATAGATATGAGACCAAAAAATGTTGATAGTATTGTATTGGCTGCTTGCTCGTTACATAACTGGCTGCGAAAAACATCCGATATGTACATCACTCACAGATGCGTCGATTTTGAAGATGTACAACAACGTGTTGTTGTACCAGGAGCATGGAGGACACAACTGCGTACAGCTATGGGAAGCCTACCACCTGCGCGTCACAGTAACCATGCCTCTCGAAAGGCAGAAGCAATAAGAAACGCTTATGCACAACTTTTTGAAACTACAGAAGCGGTACCATGGCAAGACCATATGATATAAACAACCTGTACTTATAGTATATATTATGTTCTATACAAAACTCTAGGCGATATAATAATAAAAGTATAAAAACTTACCACTGCTGTCTCAATAGTTTCCCGGTAATCTCCTGTGTCTCCAAGGAAAGAGTGCATTTCTTTAAACCATGGCAGGGATGGACTATATACTGTTGCGGCACCAGATCCGGATCGCTTCGAACTGTTAATTTTTTTCACTTCTGAGTGGTAAACAGACCTCAAATTTTTAATTTTGGTTTTTATAATTTTAACAGTTAGAGTAGGGTCATTCATGTTTATTATCAAATCTTTATACGCATTATTTCTTGAAATATTGTTTTTGTAATCCGGTAGCTTTGGATTCCAAAGGCATTCATGGCTCCGGTAAAGATTTACAAATTTAAACGTCTTTTCATCTCCCCAGCGAGACATTTTGGCTCGATGTCGCAAAACACATGCACACTTGCGACGGAACACTAGCATGCTCGTTATTAGCAAAGGCGTCCACACTTGCTCAAGGGCATTCCCCCTCCATCCACATCTCAAGTAGCACGCTCAAAAATCGAACGTCGATCGATTTGTCAGCATGCTAGTTTTAAGCATGCTGAATACTAGCAAATGCTTATGGTACTGTTACACATGCTCAAAACTAGCACAAAAGCATGCTATTATTGAGCAATTGCTACTTAGTAGCATGTGTGTACATACGTTGCTAGAAATAAGCATGCTTTTTCTGAGCATGCTTAAAAATCGACCGCCTTGCGATTTTTGAGCATGCTACCTGCAGCGCGGGTGGAAGGGGGTGTGGTTTTAGCGCGTGTGAACAGGTCTGCTTATTAAGCATGCTATTATTGAGCAGCAGTTGTTCGCAGCAATTGTTAGCAGCAGGTGCGCTTGTGTGTTGCAAAAATGGCGCGCTGGGGTGACGATAAGACGTTACAGTTTGTTATTCTATACCGAAATCATGAATGCCTGTGGAACCCAAAGTCTTCGCAGTATAAAAACAATATTTTGAGAAACAATGCGTATGAAGATATGATAATGAAGATGAATGACCCTACGTTAAGTTTGAAAAGTTTAAAAACAAAAATCAAGAACCTGAGGTCGGTTTACCACAATGAACTAAAAAAAATTGAACATTCCAAGCGATCAGGCTCTGGCACCGCTGAGGTATACAACCCGTCCACGTCATGGTTCCATGAAATGCATTCTTTTCTGGGAGACACTGGTGACTACAGGACATCTATTGAGTTGGTGAGTTTCTCTTTACTTTAAATGAAAATACACTCAAGTCTTAACACAACAAATAATCAATATATTAGCATACAACATTCATTGTCTTCTTATTTATTATTACGTATATAGGTATGTTAATTTTCAACTTTTAATTTATATCATATGGTCTTGCCACGGAACCGTCTCGGTAGTTACAAAAAGCTGCGCATAAGTGTCTCTTATTGCTTCTGCCTGCTGAGAAGCGTGGTTACTGTAGCGTGTACGTGGTAAGCCTTCCAAAGCTTGCCGCAGTTGTGTCCTCCATGCTCCTGGTATCAGAACACGTTGTTGTATATCTTCAAAGTCGACGCATCTTTGCGTGATATACATATCAGATGTTTTTCGAAGCCAATTGTGTAAAGCACATGCAGCTAATACAACATAGTCAACCTTTTTGGGGGCCATATCTATTGCATTCAGAGGAACTCGAAATCTTGTTACTAAAATACCAAACGCGTTTTCAACGATTCGTCTGGCTCTCGATAAACGGTAGTTGAATATTTTTTCTTTACGTGTTGGAGTTGTTCGATAGGGCTTCATAAGATACGTCTTTAGAGGAAATGCAGCGTCTGCCACAACAACTGATTGCTCTGGTAAATTGAGAGTATTATTTTGCAAGGCTTGTGCTAACTTCGATTGTTGATAAACACCTCCATCAGAAGCTCTTCCATTAGTTCCAACATTTACGTATGAAAAACAGTAGTCGTCATCAGCTAATGCCAGAAGTATAATGCTATGGGCGCCCTTGTAATTGTAGTAGTCAGAAGTATCATCAGGAGCCAGTATATTTATATGTTTGCCATCCAACGCACCAACACACCCTGGAAAGTTCCATTTTGTTCTAAATCCATGTTCAATGCGTTTCCAGTCTTCTGGACCCGGAATCTGTAAAAAAAGCTACTGAGTATGTTTGATAAAATTCTCTGAAAATATATTTTCTTTCAGAATGTAGAAGATTCATCGCAAGATTCACAATCAAGTGATCCTGTTTCCAATTCCAACCCGATGACGCCACAGTCCGTGTCACTGAACGTGTCATCACCCTCGCCTAGTCTAACTACGGAAGACCGACCACAATCGCGTTCCTCTAGTAACCCATCAAAACGGCGTAAAAAAGGAGTCTTGGAAGAAGGATCAATTACATGTGCGCTCGATCGCTTGGAAAATCTAACTTCTGTTATAAATAGACCGACGGAATACGACGAATTCCATTATTTTGCTCAAAATGTTGCAGCTCAATTGCGAGCCCTGCCATTGTACGCGGCATTAGATTTACAAACTGAGATCCAAACACTTCTGATTGCAGCAAGACGTCAACACCTATACCCAAACATGTCTCCCTTTACACAAAAAATGATTTACACACCTCCTACCACAAATATATTACCAACAATGACTTACACACATTCTACGACAAATCAACAAACAAAGACACACACACTGCCTAATACACATACACCAACAATAACTTACACACCTCCTACGATAAATACACAAACAATGACTGACACTCCTCCTATCACAAATATACAAACAATGACTAACATACCTCCCACTACAAATACACAAATCATGACTGACACACCTTCTACTACAAATACACAGGCAATGACTTATACTGATTTGTTGACCAAAGCATGGGAACAGTGTTGAACCATAGCATAGAAAAATTGTGTTAGATACCTACTCGATATTTTCATGTAATAAATACTTGCATATTATACTCCAGTGATTAATTTACTTACCTGCATATAATCCTTCAGAGCACTGTATATTGCATTACACACTTCAGGTAGAAATTTAGCTATAGTGGATCTTGCAACTCTGTGTAGTGCTTCTAATGTATATAACGAGTCTCCAGTTGCTAGATATCTCAATGTAATTTCCAATTTCACTTTTGCTGGAATAGCATTTCGCATGTGTGTATCTTGTTTCTGTATAGCGCTTCCAGTTTTAGAGAGCAATTCATCAAACTGATGCGGCAGCATCCGCAAATGATTTTTGTAGCCATCAATGTCTTCTTCTCTCATTTCTGCTAGCAATCGAGTACTTGCTCCAAGGTTTTCTCTTCTACTTAGCCAATCTCGAACCCAAATCTTCCTATTCCTTCTATTCTTCTTTCTTGATACCAAAAGTTTTTTGACACACTGTATTGCAATCAAAATGATGACTTTATTCACTTCTGTGGAGAGAGTCACTTGGTTTTCCATTTTTGCAGTGGAACACTGAACGAACAGCTCGCTATTAAATAGCATGTGTGTCCGGAGTCTTTGCTTTGAGCAAGATCGAGGAGAGCATGCACATAAAAAAGCATGCTAAACACGAGCAAATGTATCAGTTTGGAGAGCATGCGATTTTCAAGCATGCTCGTAAGCATGCTATTTTATGAGCATGTGTAACAGTACCTTTAGACACACGTACGAGTAGGTAGCAATTGCTCATTAGTAGCATGCTTTTGTGGTAGTTTTGAGCATGTCTATCTGTACCTTTAGAGTCGAGGTACAGTATTAATAGCTATGCTAGGGCGCATTATTTTTGCGGCCTCGCTGCGTCTCGCATAGCTAGCTCCATTTGTTGTTTACTATTGAATATTGATTACGCGCTGCATTTTTAGTGTCGGGTTTTGTTTTATTGCAGAATAAAGTAGCAAATGACTGAATAGTGTCAGTAACATTTAAAAAAATGATTTTACGCGTCTGTCCCTTCAGAATAAATTAGAAATTAAGCAATTGGGCAGACCTTTGCCGGATTTAAAGTTAACGCAAGTGAGTGAACGGAAGGCAGAAAAAAGAAGTTTTACCCGTCATTTTTCTAAAGATACATATAAAAAAAATAATTGGATATGTGGATGTGAGGAGACAAATTTATTGTACTGTTTCCCCTGTTTATTATTTTATAATGCCGCGTCAGGTATGGACTCTAGTTGGTCAAGGACGGGAATCAAAGACCTGCATCATCTTCCTGAAAAGATTAGAAAGCATGAATCTTCCCGAGGACACATTAATTCGTGCACGGCGCTTGCAGTTCTTGGTAAGACAAATATACCATCACAAATAAGTTCTGCTTATAGACAAAGTATAGTTGAACATAATGAAAAAGTGAGAAAAAATCGGCACATTTTGAAACAGATTATAAGCTGTGTCAAATTTTGCAGTGCCTTTGAATTGGCACTTAGAGGTCACAATGAGACTGAAGAGTCTTTGAATCGAGGAATATTTAGAGAAGAGTTAGATGAGGCCCTTAAAAATCATTTATAAAATGTCACGGTATTCAAGGGAACTTCTAAAAGCATTCAAAATAACATATTACTTAGCATGCTACAAGTTTGTAGAGAAGAAATTTTGCAGCAAATTAAAAACGCAAATTTCCTGTCCATTCAATGCGATGAAACGACCGACATATCAAATCAGTGCCAAATGGTTTTAATATTCAGATATTTCCACGAAGGCGGCATGCAAGAACTTTTTTGGAGTTTTTTGAGAGTTAAAGATAAGACATCAGTAGGTTTAAAAACTTGCATAGAAATTGAAATTGATCCGTTTCTTTTACAAAGTCCTGAAAAGTTGATAGCACAAACATAATATGATGGTGCGAATGTCATGAGTGGTTCTGTCGGTGGGGTTCAAGTTCACATTAAAGAAAAATATCCTAATGCACATTTCATATATTGTTATGCCCATCAGCTAAACCTTATTATGCAAAAAAGTGCATCACAAAATTCAAAAGTACGTGTGTATTTTAATAATTTGTCGGCCATACCAGCTTTTTTTTCGAACTCTACCCATCGATGTGATGTTTTAGAAGAAATTATAAATAAGAAAATCCCCAGAGTAGCTGCTACTAGATGGAACTATAACATTCGTACAGTTAACTTTGTCTATGAACATCGTGAGAAGCTCATAGAGGTGTTTGAAGAAATAGAAGAGAGATGTAATAGAGGTGTTACTTTAAATGAAGCTTCAAGTTTGAGAAGAGCGTTAGAAGATCAAGAATTCTTGTTTTGGTTGACAGTATTCCATAAAATATTTCCGCATGTTGACATCCTTTATAACCAGCTGCAGTCAAGAAATCAAGATAGTGTTCAATTACAAAAGGACTTAGTAATTTTTGAAAAGAGTATCGACAATATAAGAGGTCAAATTGATGATATTAAAAAATATACCGAAACAAAGTTTGAATCTAATAAAAGAAGAAGAACTGACGACAGTATACGAGGGGTCATTGCCAAAGAAGTGTGCGACATAATAACAATGCAAGTAAAAGATAGATTTTCCTTTCGAGGTCATTTACAGGCAGCCGAATTGTTTAATACAGAGGAATATTTGAAATATTCCCGAAATTTCCCTTCTGCTATTTTGGATGCCGTAGCTACTTTTTATCCAATGTTGTGTAAAGCCAGACTGAAAACGGAATTAGAAGTTATATACTCCAGGGAAGACTTAATGGAAATCGTTGGTGCTATGAATTTATTGTCGTTTCTTGTTACGAACAATCTTTGCGATACATTTGTTGAAGTTATAAAATTGTTAAAAATCATTGTGACAACCCCAGTGACCACAGCAGAATCAGAACGTTGTTTTTCAACTCTTAAACGCATAAAGACATTTTTAAGAAACAGTACGCGAAATGATCGACTAAATGCTCTACCTATGTTGTCAATAAACAGAAACTTGACTCATGAAATAGATAGTTTTGATGAAAAAGTTATGGAAAAATTTATATCTCTAAAAGATCGTAGAGCCGATTTTGTTTTTAAACAATGATTGTTTTTAAATTTACTGTATTATAAACAGAAGCTTATTTTGTGTTATGTGCATGTATTATCATTTCTTTCATCTTTGCTGTTTTTTTTAAGGTAAGATATTTTAATGCATTGTATTATTTTACAAGCATAATATTAGTATTTTTATATTTTGCCATTTCAGTATTATGTATATTTATGACTCTAGCTCTAAACGACTAACAGTTGATTTTTTGATTTGAAGCGTTTTATGTCAATAAAATATTGCAAAATTGCATGTAAAATTTTTTGAATTAGATTTTGCGCCCCCCAAACTCAAATACCACGAGCCGCCACTGACAATATGGTAAAAATGTCCTGGTCAGGTATGTCACAGCCGGGTTTGTGATGGTTCATCAGTGGAGCTACATGAAATGATTAAAAAAACCAGTAGCAAATATTCCAAAATAATTTACCTGGTGGCATTAAACTTTTTAATTTTCCCAGAATGACCATCAGATGTTTCAAAAGGTCTTTTCAAAGAATTTTTATGTTCAATATACTAGAAGATTGTCAGTCTGATGCATTTGTTAATGATATTTTTGAGGTCATTATGAAAATTGCAAGGCTGAAAATTTTCAAGCAGTTGTGTCAGACCTGTTTTGAAGGAGGCTTGATCATTAGGCAAATGGGCAAACTTATCCAAATAACTATACAGTTTTTTATGGGTAAGACGTCAATGGCTCTAATCCTCTCCACACTCTCCATCTCCAGGCAAAATCGAGCTAACTGTATTCTGTAATCTGTTCTGTATTACCGCCATCTCGTGACGTGCACTTGCCGGGATTCAGGGTTGCCAGGCGTACCGATTTTTCGCCAATGTGGCGATTTGACGGATTCAAATGGATAGCTTGGCGATTGGCTACTTTAATGGCGCCCAGTATACAGCAAACTGGCGATTCTTAACATTTCTTACGCCAATTAATTTGTAATCAATTTTTGCTGATATGTTAGAAAGAGATAGGAGCCGGCTGAAGAGCGATGACCCAGCAACGGCGACGCAGAAGCTACAAGATTCCGCGTTGCCAAAATGTTAAACCAGAAAATGTTCGCACAGGCTTCTACAATAGGTTAGGTTACTGTCAAATCCAAAAAGTGTACAAGATCCGTAGAGAGTAAACTAACGCATGTTTTCAACATGCACCTTAATTCAAAGAACTGGTGTATCATAATGGCAACGAGGCGCAGATTTCCGCGTCAGCACTGATAGGCGGTGATGAGCTTCGCTATCCAGCCAGCTACTATCTCTTTCTAACATATGCGTCTACAGACACTTCTTTCGAGCACATGAACTCAAGCCGTCAGACTAATTTGGTTTTCAGAAGAGATTGAAATGGGGACCAGCGGCAGTTCTGTTCTCTAAGCACAATGACGCTTATCGTCAAAATTTGTCATGTCAAGGTATCGTGTGATCCGAGCATATCAACGACATCCCATCCTAACACTTTTGACACAGTGTTGCGCTTGATGTCGATTATTATACAATTTTTGTACGATAACCGGGAGAGGAGAGAGAGAGAGCCAACCCTCCTCCCCCCCCCAAGGTTCACTGAGGAAAGCTAAATACGCAGAAAATTATTGTCACTCCGTTCTGCAATTTTCAATAGTCGGTAACCCTCCTTCCCGTTGTCACAATATCACAAGAGCATTCGCCAGCAGTCCCGCCACCTCTGGATCCGCCCCCCTGTAAACGAATTTCTTTTCGTTAATATTACACGTTTCTAATAACCCTCCATCCTCACCCCCCGCTTTTCAATGGATTCTTGGAGTATTATTATGCGTAACCCCCTCATTACCGCTCTTCAGTTATTGTCAACAGGCTGGCTACTTAGGCGCTTGGGCCAGTTACTACTTCACCTCCCCGGGCGACAAACCCATTCCAATCTCTAACCTGGAGTTTTATGGTTAGACTCCTAGTTAATTTGGATTGGCGATTTATGGCGACTTTCGCATCTAAACTTGACGACCAACGTGACTGAAAACCTGGCAACCTTGCCGGGATTCTCTATCTTTAACTATTGATGGCCCAAAAATTAGAAAAATTTACGTGTAAAAAAATCCCAGATATTCTCAGCCGTTTCAGCGAAAAAGAGGTATTTTTTGTTTTTCGATGTTTTACAAAAAACGGCTGGTTTCCGGAAAAACAAATTCATACAACAATATTCGCAATCCTTTATTACACCATTCCGCCAGCGGAAATAACTTTGTGGCTATGATATCGCTTTTGTCTCAGTTTCGGCTATTTAACTTTAATAATTTGGATAGGCGAATTCTTGAGATTTTCTCATTAAAACTTGACTGAAAACCTGGCAACCCTGCCGGGATTCTCTTATTTTGATCTAAAATTCTGATTATAAAAATATCAAACATGGCGTTTGTTTTGGTTAATATCGAGATGATCAACGCTTTGAAGATATTTCGTAAAAATGAGCATAAAATATAAAACAACACTATCAGTACCTGTAATGGTATACGTAAATTGTATTGTGACTATTGTGGGAGATACAGAAGTTCAGGAGACTCTGCCATGTCATGTTATAAAGTGCTACAGGTAGGCTGTGAACTTAATTTATCGGCATGGTATATTTGGTAGATTATTTATTTAAAGTTGCATGTCTGGATTCAGCCTCTTAAT